ACGAATGCTAACTTTGTTCATATGAAAAAGCGTTATGTTTTCCAACTCTTTCAAGAAAACAGTTCTTGTTAAGTTTTGTAGTCTACAAAAAGTGTAGTGTTTTATACAGAGCCATCTCAGCACAAGGTCTTCACATACCGATAAATAACTTCAAGAAATTCACAAGCGCCTGTTAACCTTAACAACCCAAGATATAATCCGTTCATATATTAAGCCAACCACTTCATACTTTCTTTTACGAGTTACTGAGAGCAATATCAGCTGTGGCTCAGCCTTGCTACAAACACGAATGCGGTACAACTTACTATGTTGTTAATTTTTGCCATTGTAAACTATGACCTTATTTTAATAGTAAAAGTATTCATGTCACAGTAAGATAAAATTTAGGAGAGATAGGGCATAGCGATATTTCCGCTCGAATTGGAGCGCCCGTCTGGGGAAATAACTTCCACCTTACAGAAGATCACAGTAAAAGGAGTTACATAACCTAAATCCACCTTCACCTTTTTACCACAGAACCACCAGAGAGACGGCAAAACGCCACAGATATACCGTAGAGGTTCCGCAAACTCGTACTAAACGGTTTGCTTCCACCTATACCGTCAGAACAGCTAGATTGTGGAACTCTTTGTTTCCAATAACCTGTAATCTGGGGCTCTTCAAGTCGCAAGTGAATCGGTTTCTTCTAGGCAAACGCGTCCCACCTTAGGTCCACTTGCTCGTAAATCTTGAGATAACAAAATAACTTCTAGTTTACTAACTTAAAGTTAATATAACATTTTCTTAACCCAGAGTTTATCTTGAACGAACAAAAAATAATCCAGGGTTTACTAACCCAACAAAAAGAGAGACAGATGAATGAATGACATAAGTATTGTTCTCCCTTTCACACAACAGTATCTTGCATATATCTCTTTCGTAATGTCAAATTTGAAAAGACGTGGTGTTTTTGGGCGTTTAAGTTGAATGCCGTCCTGTAATTTGTCTGTCAATTAGGTGTTTGTATACCGATTGCATGGTGTTTTTAAAGTACCTATCTATATCGTAAGTTTGTATTTTGTGACAACAATTTCGTGCGGTTTTATTTTGTAAAATGAAGAAGAAATCTCGTTTACGTGCCCCGAATTTTACAATTAATGATAGTTTACTTCTATGTGATATTCTATACAAATATTATTGAAAATAAAAAAAATGATGGCGCTACTCTTCTTCAAAAACAAAAAGCTTGGCAGGATATAATGGAAGAATATAATGCTGTTATTACTGGTCATCATCGCTACAAAAAAATCGGTCAAAGAATATGTACCTACTTATATTTTAGTCGACAATTTTTTCGTCATCATCAGAAAACAAAAAGTCATGCATCACTCAGAAATAAATAAAATAAAATGTTATCTCTATAAAAACGAACAACACAGCCTATATCAATTTTGACGTTTTAAATCTCGAGTTAGCAATTTAACCGCCGTACAACGCTCATCAGGCGCGTGGCCGGCAAGCGTAAGCCTATTTAATGTAATTGGAAACGGTCTGCGGGAGGGAAGAACTAGCCCCGCATTATAAATGGCTTTCCATCGAGTTAGGTAGTGATGCCCCCAGAGAGAGACGGACGGATTCCTCAATACGAGTCGAGTCCAGAACGTCCCGCGGTTCGTGCCAACGCACACAAGGGAGATAGTGCAAAGAGAAGGGTCCGAGAGGGCGCTTTCACGGTTGGGGTCTGGGACAAAGGCTTTGCTGATCCCATCCCCCATCGTGTGAAGATGGAACCGCAGGAGGTGTTTTTAGTGGTTAGTCGCGGCGCGGCGTGATGTTGCCCCGTGGAGTCCCACATACCCCCACGGCAGGGCACGGTCGTGGGAAGTGCGTAAATGCATTTGCACTTTCCCAAAAAAAAAGGGTTGGAAACGGCGAGAATGGTAAATTATTTTTTGTATCGCAAAAGACTATTGCCTATGGCGCTTACCATCAGTCGGGACATATGTTTGCAGTGTCTAAATGAATTTTAGGTAAATATGTAATAGTAATAATAATCCATTTATTCATAAACAGTTTTACAAAATGATATAACAGGCACCCATACTAGGCGAAGCCCGTCCTATGGGGGAAGTAAACAATTTACAATATATCATTTACGGCCTAAAAATACAAACAAATAAAAACTAAAAAGAATGGATACCTTGGTAATACGCGTGTATTTATGGGAGTGTTTTGTGTGTGTGTGTGTGTGTGTGTAACTGTGTGTTGTGTGTATGTGTATATTCAACTTATTATCCTTAAAAGATTCTCTGCTCTGTCAAAAGTCCATTTTAATAACATTTTTGAGATGTTATTTCGCATCTCCCGAACGGAACTGAGCTTGATATTCATTAAGTTAACTAGTTGGTTATAAATGTATGGAATGAGAAAAATTCCGAAGCGTTTAGCATAAGAGGTGTTGTTGTTAATATGTCATGGGTGGTTATGGATAGTCATGCTCTCTTAAAAGTCTCTTCGGTGGTGTCGTGTGAGGCGGGTCATTACGTTCCCTAAAATATGGCTGGGCGAAGCGATGGCTGGTTCATGCGTCATGTTCGTGAACGGGTGCTACCGGCGGAGATGAGTCTGCGCTAACTAGTTTGATATTTAATATGTAAATGTCTAGTTACACCTAATATAAATAACTATTTGTACCTATTTATACTGTATGACACAGCAATCAATAGGCAGGTGAACAATTGATGTATAATTTCACATTATGTAATAAACGGTGAATTCATGAATCATCTCTGAAGTCATTTTTCAACTTGACGTCTCTGTAAATAATGAAACAGGTAGAAAAAACACCCCTTGCTGAGTTTCTTGCCGGTTCTTCCCAGTACAAGTCTCCCGCCGTAGATTTACGAACCGATGTCGTAGCTTCTAGACAGTCATGAGTGCTTGTAAACCGTGTAAGCCTAAACTGAATAAATGATTTTGATTTTTATAATTATGACTATGTCTGCCATTCTTTTAACATTAAAAAATACAGTAAAAACGGCATTCTCGCTGTTTGACGACGATGGCGTTTTCAACTTAAAGCACACATTTCGCTAAAATCAGAGGAGGAGCTTAGAAAAAAATTGCGTTTGGAATTTGAATTAGTTCTGTCGTGATATATTATCGTGCTGCATGTCTATAGACGTTAAACGATAGCTTGCCTGGCGATAGTTTAACACGCTAAAAGAGGTTGTGGGGTGCTTATCGCATTATTATTATTTCGTACTAAGATTAGCATTCGAAAAGCTTTGTCGCGCATGTTCGGGAGAAGCAAGAGACGACTAATTTGTATGCGCAGTTGAAGGAGCGGACTTAATTCAAAGTTCGAATGCTAATTTTAGTACCGAAACTTCATCACATAGATGTGGGATAAGAAATGCCGACTGGGTTTTAAGAGATTAAGAAAAATAGGGTGCACACAATAACAAACACATCTCAAGTGAAACTTCTTTTCTTAAAAAACCTTATATCATGCGGTACATAAGGCATTAGGGGAATGGAGCGCCGCACGCATCACTCATATCTTCTATAATATAAAAATGAATCACTGATTGTGTTGCTAAGCGCAAATCTCGAGAACAGCTGAACCGATTTCGATAATTCTTTTTTTAGAATATTCCTTGAAGTAAGAGGATGGTAATTAATAGGCTGATGATGATGATGATGATGAAGAGGATGGTTCTTACGCAGATAAAAATTTTAAAAAATTCCTAAAAAGTCAAAAACAACAATTTTCTATTCTCCCATACAGACGATTCGTAATAATACTCAAGAGTCAATTTGAACTTTAATACCATACCATAAATGTCAAATGTTAGTGGAGAGGTTCTGGGTAAGCAAAACAATTGAGTGAAGTTTGGAAAAGGCAAATATACCATTTTCAGTTTTTATTTTATAATTTTAAGAAGAGGCATTCCAGTCTACACTACATCTCGACACCGAAGCGAAGCGAGGGCGGGCCACTAGTATATATATATATATATTGTCATGTGTAACGCTCGTGACGCTCGCAGCGTTTCAGCCCTCGGCGTGTTAGGGGCTGTTCAAGTATTACGTAAGCACTATAGGGGGGTAGGGGGGTCTTTGCTTTGCTTATTTTTGATGACATGGGGGGTGGGGGCAATAGAGATGGTGATTACGTCAGCATCATCGATTAAGCCTTTTAAAGTACTGCTGCTCATGAAGCTCATAAAAGCTCATGAATCAATAAAAAAAACAGAATACATTAAATAAAAAATGCATATAGGTACCAATGTTTACGTAAGGATGGGGGGGAGGGGTAAGAGCTTTGCTTACTTTTGCTGACGAGGGGAGGAGGGGGTAAATAATTGTAATAAATCTGCTTACGTAATACTTGAACGCCCCTTACCCTCCAATTTTCATGCTCGTCGGGAAGAGCTGCGCACGCATTCTACACACACACAAACACACACACATATATATATATATACTAGCTGACCCAGCGAACTTCGTACCGCCATAAAAAAATTAATTAAAAAAACATTGTCCAGCGGACAAAATTGTGAATCTAAACCATTCTCAGTCCCCTTGAACACACACAAAAAATTTCATCAAAATCGGTCCAGTCGTTTAAGAGAAGTTTAGTGACATACACACTCACAGAAGAATTATATATATAAAGATATATATATATCTTAATATATATAAATCTCGTGTCACAATGTTTGTCCTCAATGGACTCCTAAACCACTGAACCGATTATAATAAAATTCGCACACCATGTGCAGTTCGATCCAACTTGAGAGATAGGATAGTTTAAATCTCAAATTATAGTCGCAATTTTAATTTATTGCAAATTATTACTTTTGGGCGGTACGAAGTTCGCCGAGTCAGCTAGTATATATATATATATATATATATATATATATATAGGCGTGTGACACTCTTTTCATCTTTTCCATAGGATCTTTCCATTTACACCCCGTCCGAAGAGATTTCAATGTGTTTGTCTTTTGTTTCAGACTGATAACATGAGGGTTATACTGGTCCTGACGTCACTATTGGCGATAGCGCGGAGCAAACAGCTGCCGCGAGTGAAAGGTGAGCAATCACTAATGTATATACAGTCTGCAATTTATAATTTCATAACTCAACCGCTCAGCCATTTAAAATGAGAATGGAAAAAGAAACAAAACTTAAAGTGTGAAAAACTGCAGCAATACTCGTCATTTTTGCTGAATACACTATTTTTGACAATTTTTTAAATCATTCAGCAGCGCCATCTCTTCGCATTATAGGTAAACCTCAGTGTGAAATAAATAAATATTTCCAACACTCACACCAATTAGCCTAGCTGAATTAAGTCTTTAGATTTCTTAAGATTTAAACATCTAGCATTTAAATGCCTAAAAATTAAGATATAACTATAACACACTATGTTATACTATAGAGCAAAAAAACACGTATGTTGTATGGGAATATATTTATTAGTAATTATTTTTAGTTGTTATAGCGACAACAGAACTATAACATCAGCTGTAAAAATTGCAACTGTCTAGCTATCACGGTTCATGAGATACAGCCTAGTGACAGACAGACGGATAGTGGAGTCTCAATAATAGAGTCCCATTTTTACCCAACACAAACCATCCTAATTAAGAAGATAATATAACATTTCCAACTAACTCCGAATAACTGGAGAACCGGACACGCTCAACATTTTACCGGGAAATCAGAGAAAACAATGCACGGGAAACTGGGCATTATGTCATTCAATTTAAATACCATATCCGCTGGGACGTTGCAAGGATGCGTCTGGATGTCGCGGTGTCAACGACCTATGACCAGCGTCCACGCATGCGCGTCTTGTGTGCGCCCATCTTGGTCTTAATTTGTTTTTTTTTTAGTACGAGCAGTGTTGCCAGGTGTACCGATTTTACGGGAGATCTTCTGTTTTTCTGAATTTTCTCCTACTCTACGGTTTTTTACATTAATCTACTGTTTTTGTTATTGCATGTTGAGTTGCATTTGCCGCCATTAATAATGTAGGTCACCTTAATTATTATAAAATAAATGTTAGTCTAAAAAAAGCCAGCTTTGAGGGGCGGCAGAAGCCGCAGAAACACATTAGTTACTGGCCTTTCCATCTTGATTTGATTTACCAATTCTAGGGAGGGGGGCAAATCGGAAACATACATTTACTGTTTTTTTATTTAACGCCTTCTCTATCTCTTAGTTAAACTACGATGCCCCCTTATTAATAAACTAAGACTAAGCTTGGATTAGTAACTCTATGTTTTGTCTCTGTTTATTGAATGACAAATGACACTTGAGTGTTATGAACAAAATACGGCGTAACTGGTCTAAGCTTATTCCTTATCTTATTCCAAAAAGTAATTTGACTTTGGCCGCGTCGTTCCATCCATAATTAAATTTGAATCAAGTTAAAGTCACATCAAACACAGTATAGTACATATATGTGCCAAATTTTAAGAAATGGTTATTTTTACTGTAGTATTTTAATTATATGATTTGCCCGGAACCCTCGGTGGGTGAGCGCGACTCGCACTTGTCAGGCTTTTTCTCTTTTGAGATACAGAATCCCAAAAATAATTGCTTTATTCTCTCCCTCAGACCCACCGAGCACAACAGTAGCTACGGCGACAGAAGATGACACGACACAGTGGCCGGGAGCAGTTGCACCCCTGGATCAGCTGGCGGTCGCGTGCGAGAGGGATAGCATGCACATCACCGTCACACTCGCACAGACGCAGTCGTCCTACGATACTAATAGGTACATCATCATCATCTGCCTATTAATGTCCTCCCCCGCGGGGAGATGCCGTCCGCCTGGAATACCTCTAGAGGCACTCGCCTATTCTCGGCTTGAGGTCCCCTTGGATCTCGCTGTCCCCAAACCCGGTGACGCTGTAAAGGTCATCGGCGACCAACAACAAACACACTCAAAAAAAAAATGTCCCCACTGCTGGGGTACAGGCCTTCCCCATAGATAGGGAAGATAGAATAGGGAGATTGGGCCGTGACTCACCACGAGGACTCAGTCTGGATTGGTGGATGCTAACGACTTTAGATGCAGCCGTGACCAACGTCTTAACGTGCCTTGCGAAGCACGCAGGAGCTCGAGATAGTAAAATTTTTGGTCACCCAACCGATGACCGACCACTGCGGAATTAGTATAACTTTAACGATCGCTGCCGGACGCGCTAACCACTTGCATCATCGAGCTCCTCCATCTCCATCGACGTACTACTGACAGGTTAAATTATTATATTACAATATGTATATAGATATGAATTGGTAGATAGACTGTTTCAAGTGAAGAATTTGATTAATTCGAACCCTTAAATGCCCAACATGTAAAGTGTTGGGCCGAGAATATAACCTTGTGCGAGTCTTTTTGAGCTTGTTAACTCTAACATATAAGGAGCATACAGCCTCGTTATATCATAAACATGTTTGCCTTCACGTGCTCATATTCGCGAGTAGGTACATAAAGTCTGCATTTGTCATATCTTTATCTTTCGTGACATACTTTACATTACTTTTCCTTTCGAAATCTAACAACAGATAAATCGACAATAATGGCCTGCGCAGACGCCAAAATTGATTGCTTACAGAAAAATCTCGGAAAAAGAAACTTTGATTATGCTAGCCGCAGCAACACACACAGCGAACTGTAGTCCGCTTTGCGCGCTGGTTCCGATTTAAAGGAATGGACCCAGTATTATTTTTTAAAACTCTTTTTCTTTTTCTTAAACTTCATGTTTATTACAACACAATGAAATCTTAGAATAACTGCTTTCATAATATGCATTGCTTTGTATTTCTTAAAATGTCTGCACACTGTATACGTTGAGTCCGTGACAAGTAAGTCCTCGCGGACATTTTTTTCATGATTCATGAACTTTTGTCTTCCACGGACAAAGGTCCCACGTCTTCGCAGGATATAAACGGACATTCTAAAGAAATCCTTTGTTTTGAGTTTACACATTTTAAGTAAATCTCCTTTATGAGCATTTGCTTTTTACCTTTTTTTACACTATTGCCAAAGAGGTTTTTTTTTAATTCATGCTGTTTGTGTATTGGTTTTTAAGATTTTTGTACGACTAACTACTGTTTTATATTTATCTACTAACTCCACCATTATGTCATTAAGATTCTAGGGTTCCACGGGGTTGGGGAGGTGGTCAGTATAATTTTGTTCTTTGAAGGAAATAAAGCGACTTCGTCACTAAAATAAGTAAATGTATTTCTCTCAATTTTGGTTACATAATTTTGGATATATATATGACTATCACTAGACAGTCAAGTTGGCGATTTTAAAAACGATCCTTGGCCAAGAAAATATCACTCTTATAGACCAAAGTATTATTTAAATAGCTACAGCGGCTGTTTACCAACAACCGGTCCATACTTGTCACCATTTTCACTGATAAAAATATCATTTCATGTTAATGCCTGTTTTCTTGTATCCAGTCCTTTAGACGCGTTCAATGGCATCGTCTACCCCGCCGGTCTGGGCAGCAATTCTTCATGTCTCCGCGAGTATGAGAACGCTAGAGGCGACCTGCAGTACACCCTGCCACTCATGGGGTGCAACACCATGGCCACTGATAACGTGAGTATTGAGCATTTTTAATATACTTCTAGACACATCTGTTCATTACAGTTTGTTTGTTTTTGTGTATGATCATTGCTCAATATGTGTAAACATAAGATGAATAATTTTTAATTAACCTAATTAATAATAACTAATAATATATGAATTATTTTCAAAATACTAAATTCCATACTCTCTCCAAATTTAAGAGCTATGCTCTTTTTGGTGCAGTCTATGAATCCCCCGCCATCTCCCTCTGTCCTCCGCCAACTCTTTGAGTCCCTTCTACGACTCGACGCCAACCTTTTCTTTAATTTTAAGCAAATTAAAGAAAAGGTTGGCGTCGAGTCGTGTAAGCTAAGTAACTGTAAGCTATCGGCCCACCTAGCATTTTGAGTTTTGACAGCCCCTAACTAAAAATAAACGTTACATTGAGCAAAAAGTTTTACGCAGCTTTGAAGCTGATCTACTAACCATGTTTTAAGTGTGTTTTTATTGCTCAATGTAACATATATTTTTGCTTCAGACGTTGAAACTTATAACAATGAGTACGCCGATAGATGTGTCTGAGAGTGTAAGTATCCCTCCTTCTCGAACCACGTCCTAACTCATGTTAAACAAAGTCTATTTAACATAAGTTAAACAGACTCTAGCAATCGGTTTGATCATTTATTCAATTCCGACTCATCAATCATCAATCATCAACAGCGTATCCTAGTCCACTGCTGGACATAGGCCTCTCCTCTACAATTCCGACTACAGTTCGATAAAATGTACAAAATCTTTTGAGAACGATCTAAAGTTTTTAGTAACTTGACTTTTTTTGTGAGTGTGTATGCTGTTGGTCGCAGATGACCGTTACAGTGTCACCGGGTTTGGGGACGGCGAGATCCTTAGGGGACCTCAAGCCGAGAATTGGCGAGTGCCTCTAGAGGTATTCCAGACGGATGGTATCTCCCTACGGGGGGATCCTCCTCTCCGTCTGGAGCCTCTAGACCACTCGAACCTGAGGGGGTTTGCACAACTAGAGGGTGTCTCTAAGACTCTGACCTCGGCTCTAGTTAGCCGTTGTTGTGGGAGGCAGTAACTTGACATGTCGCTGTCTGTACAAACTGAAACGTTATACGAATCATTCGAAATAATCGAATGATGAACCGATAAGACCAATCTACGAGTATATATAGTATCAATAACGCCACAACGGTTTTGTGACAAATTTATTCGTAGCACGTGCTTCCGTAACGACGCACGATACATACTGTTACGCAATGCCCAGACACGACAGTTAAAGGTTGTTGCCCTGTGCTGCCAATCTATCTATTTCCAAAACCGTGCCCAGGTGTGACGTTACATGCCAGCTTTTCAGACAGAATTGAGAATCAGTGCTTTACTCTCTGAGCACAGGCATCGCCGAATATTTGCCTTTTTCTGCCATTACGGAACACAGTTTCATACTAATTCAAGCTACCAACTGTTTTCTTTAATTTGTGAACTGTACATGACAGTAATAAATTATTATTTATCTAATTATCTGTCTCCTCCTTGAGCCATCGAGCTCCTCATTGCCGTATGCTATCTATTAATCTATTCCCAAAACTGTTCACTCTCCTGGTATGACGTCACATGCCAGCTTCCTAGGTAGAACTAAAAATCAGTGTTTTGCTCTCATAGCAAAGGTATTGCTGAGCTTTTGCCTATTTTTGACGTTGCGGAACACAGTTTCATACTAATGCACTCTACCATCTATTTATTTCTATGTCTGATAAGTTAGAAACACTTTCATTATCAGCCTATCAATGTCTCCAATGCACAGGTCTTCCCTATATATGGAAATTTTCCTAGGCAATTATATCGTGGAGTGAATAACATGAGATAACACCTATTGAGGAGCTCGACGGCGCGGGTGGTTAGCGCGTTCGGCTGCGATGGGAAACCAAAAATCTTCTATCTCGAGTATCTCCGTGCTTTGGAAGGCACGTTAAGCCTTTGGTCCCGGCTGCATCTGCAGTCGTTAGCGCCCGCCAATCCGCAATGGGCCCGCGTGGTGGGTCATCGCCCAATCTCCCTATTCCATCCATAAGGAAGGCCTGTCCCCAGAAGTAGGGACATTAATAGGCTATTAATGTCCCCACTCCTGGGGCACAGGCTCATAAGCACACTCGCTTTTTTCTGAAGTACAATGAAATTCATTATTCTAGTGGCCCGGCTAGTCACATTTGTAAATACGTACACAACCCTACTACACGTATAGTGGGAATGTTATTTTCCTTTCGGTCGCAGAGTAGGACAAGATATGACAAACTTGACAATTTATCGATTTAAAGAGTAAATGGGTAGTTTCAGTTTAAGATTTCCATAAGATATTAGCTAATTGTTAGGGATCAGAAAAAAAATGTGATATCTATCGGGCCTTTAGCATAATTCTCTAAACTCAAAACCTAAAGAAGAGCGATCGCTGTAACTGAAAATAGTGTCCCAGAAATATGGACAAAATAAGTGAGGCGCTGCGATCGCTAAGTTGTCTCAACAAAAGCGGGCTGATGTGCGCTAATTTGAAATGACCAATGCCGCGAAGAAAATTTGTTTATTCAACTAACTTCATCTTCTTGTACTCATTAACAGCTAACTACTTACCGACGGCAGCGCGGCTGGTGGCTGAAAAATGAACTATAAATTCTACAAATTTTCAGGGACAATTTTCAAGCTAATGCTTCAGCACGTAGCGACCGTTCTCCTTCTCTCTAACCTCCATGCTCAAAACTATATTTGACAATAGTACCTCCTTTTCATTCTGTATAGAGCATGACAAGGACACACTGTTTTCAATTTTTATTTTTTGTATTGTGCCCGATATTTTTAAAATATGAATTCTACTGATTTCTTCAGTCACATAACAACATGAAAATTAACATAGCTTCTTTCACAATTAGCGTATTGTTCTGTCACTCATACGCAACAGAAAAACGTAATTTTTGCTAGCGTTAATGTAAACGTAAAAAAAACGATATTGGAACATCTAAAACTGTGAAGTCATTTACCATGCTAAAGTTAAGCAGAAATTAATTCAGCAATATATGTTTCCACAAATATTTATCGAAATAATAACTTTTGTTAGTGATAATAAAGACGTTTACCCACAAAAAGTATTTTTCTTTTACTAGTATTGTTGCGAGTATTTAAGATTACAGTTATAGCTATGTTATATTATAAAAACTATGTTTTATGTTATAAAAACTTATGTTTTCATTTTATATGTAATTATATAATAATATAACAGCAATTTTTATATTTGGTTAAGAAGATTTTTAAGGCTATCTTTTTGGCCAAACGTTCTGAATAAATATGCACCTGTTTCACTGGATTTCTCTATAATATATTTTTTATATGTTTTCCATGACATCATTCGGTAATAATAGTTCCCTTTATGGTTCCGACATAGGAAGTCGGATACTTGGAGCCACTCACGCTTCTGAATCACGTTTTCTGATATAACGAACGCTAGGAATATACAGCTATTCTTGTATGAATATTAAAATTGCATATATTTTATTGAACATTTCGGATACAAAATTGTATTACAAACAGTATACATGTATTGTAAATGTTTTGGAGACAAAAATATAGTATAGCTATTAACGGGATTGTTACCATGTACCTTGTTTTTTATGAGTCTCCGATATTTCGGCACTGTTGCAAGCGCCATGATCACGAAGTAACTGAAGTAAATGCGGGTGGATGTTATTGGCAGACATATCGGCAGTGCCGTCTTTGACCTATTGGAGGCCCTGGGCATATTAGGATAATGGGGTTATATGACCCCAATGACCCCGTTTAGTGATTTAACAGGAACTAGGGACTTCGTATTTGATCTGAGGGGGCCCCCTATCGATCGTGGGGCACTGGGCACTTGCCCAAAATGCCCACTGAGAAAGACGGGTCTGCATATCGGTCCACCCTCAGACTCATAAAAAACAAGGTACATGGTAACAATCCCGTTAATAGCTATAATGTTAGTGACCATGAAAATTTAAAAGAATAAAAAGTATATTATTAAACAGTATTAATATCGGGGCAATTGTAGGTCTGTACCTTTCAACAGATATTTTATCTGATTTCTGTTACATCAATCCGACAAAACTTTGGGCAGGCATTGAGTTTTATTTTAGTACTATTCCATTATTTATTGTTTCTTGGTAATAGGGGATTATTGGTTTATCCATGTTAAAAGCGATTGAATTCATGAACAAAATTTTAAAAAAGTTTCAACATTTACTACTCCGACCATAGACAGAGAAGTGTACTCAGACATTGTATTATGACAGGTAATTTTTCTTAAGTTACCTACAAAAAAGGTGAACTGAAAAAGTTTTGAATAATGCAGATGTTACATCAGTGATAATATTATGTTAATGAAGATGATTCAACTGCCTCCGTGTTTTGTTTCACGAGTTATGTAAAAAATATCGAGGTCAGAACTTCTTGCAAGCTTTTGAATTACCACATTGAAACGCATCTCAGATCAGTGCATATAGGTACACCGGACTGTTCACCGCTTACCATCTGAGAATCTCCCATTGCTTTTCACTGCAGAACACCGTGCATCCTAAACCGAATAGCCTTCCTAGGGGCCCCTCAAAAATGCTCTCTTTTATTGTTAGGAAAATGCGCGACGCATACCCCGCCCCTGGATGAGAGACGGGGTTATGTGGGACTCCTCCTCCCCCCAAATCCCACCCACCCACAGGTGGGGGGTGGCCCATACCCACCAAAAATCCAACAGTGCTTCCTCGCCTACTGGAACGGGTTTCGTGGGATCCTGGTGACTCTCCACGTTACTCCGGCAGTCAAAAATGGTCCTTACCAGGACCCCCGGACAAGAAATATTGGACTCTGTGTCCGTATTTTGCAGCTCAACATAGAAGGGTTATCCCAAAACAAATGTTGACCTGTCCAAAGTGGCTCATGAATATGGGTTGATACTATCTGTATCCAGGAACACCGTATTAGCAGGGACGATG